TTTTTTTTTTTTTTTGAGGGGGAATAAGGTAATTATATTGAAAGTGTATATTGTTAAACAACGTAATTGTTACTTAATATAAAGCCTAAAAAAAATATCTGTATTTAGTAGTATGTCTTGGACGTTTTAGTATAAATAACTTTTAGACCAAACTTTACCATTTATAAAGTTCTTAAAGATGTATAAGCAACTTCACCTGTAAACTTAAACTTCATATATGCAGATTTTTTTTAATTCAAACTTCATGGATCAAATGTAACAGTAAACTAAAAGGTCACGCAGAATATTATTGTAAATAACTATAATGCAATATATTTACTTTCATGATCGTTTGATAACATTTCAAACGCAGGATTGAAAATAAATATCAAGAGTCATTAAATTAATAAAACCAATTCAATTTTACTAGTAATCGTAGTCTTGAATAATTAATTGCAAATAAATAATTATTTCATATGATCATATGAACTCTTAACTATTTTTATTGTGTCATATAATACAATACATTAACTCAGTGATCCGTAATATTGAGTTAAATCAGTTTATTCAGTTATCTTAGCAACATGTAGTTTGAATTTTATCCCATATAGGTATAAGTATAATTTAATTTATGGGTGTAAATATTATAGGCTATCAAGGCGTTATATACTAAAACTATCTATCAATGTCATAATTAAGTTTATTTTAAAAATATTATTACATTTACCTCCAGGTTTTTAGCATTAATGCTCCATAGGTGAGTGAGAATCCAATTTCTCGAAGCCAGACACGAGCAATACAAGTAATCACATTTGGTTTTGGATACATCACAATCATCTAAAAAATATATATTCACTAATTATTGCCATAGAGCTAAATGTGATGAATTTTTAATTTGAACTTTTAAGCAATATGTGATTTACAATACAGTTTATCTAAGGTATAAAGATTATTGTAGACGATATAACTAAATTTTACAAGACTTACCGTAGCATAAATAAAAAACGCACCAAGAGCAATAACTCTGAGCAATGCCGGACTAGCTGCTCGGACAACCTATAATATTAAAAAGTTTTAATATATTATTAAGAATAATAATTTATTATCTAAGTATAATGTATAGAAAATAAATCATACGGTTACAGTTAAATTAAAACATGGACAATAATTATGATGTATTGTACACTGTGGTAAACTTTTTTTTTTTTTGCAAACATATACCAGGCATTTTATTTATAAGTCAAACATAAACGYAATACCAGTCAAATATTATACAATTAATATTAAATAATTAAATAAAATTGAAATCACTTGAGTGAAAATAAAAAACTACGGACWKCGTGCTTTAATACATGGTTGCGTTTTAACTTTACAGCATGGTTTTATTACACTATTTCCAAATCATGATAYAACATATAGTATCTATTGTAGTATAAATTTTCATCTACAAACGCATTCTCGTAGATTGTAGATACTACCTTTTTTTTATTTATTTAAATTTTTAGTCAAATAGGTACTTTGAACTTTGAAGTATATCGGATATTGTCTTCATATAATTTATTAAACATAAAATATACTTTGTACCATCGATATATAATTTAATATATTTGTATACAATGAYAAACTAGTTATACCTACTATTTACTTACGATGTAATTCACAGACAAAAATACATTTGAAAGTACTTCAAATAATTTTGGCAGAATAATGAGTTTAATGCTTAATACAAAATAAGCAATAACAAAATAAATTCTGAAACTAAAGGTACCAACCCAAAAGTTTCTTTTCATTTATCTTGAACATCAAATAATCATTGGTTTTTTATTTGAAACAGAAACTTTTCTTAAATGTTATTCATTTGTTAGTATGTACCTACTTTATATATTTCTAGTAAATATAAACACAACGTCACAATATATATGAAGGAACGGGATAATGAGATGGTTTGGTAGWCGGGTGTTGTAAATGAAATTGAAAAATATATTTTTGAAACTGTATAAAACATACTACTAATAAGACATAAATTGGTATAACCATGAATGTTTTAGAATTTAAAWAACTATACCTAGTTATTATTGAAAATACTATTGGAATTCGAATATTTATTAACGATTTTCTGTCAAAAAGTTATTGAAAATTAATTATTATTAAAATATAATACTGTTCATCGACAGTAACTCTTAATTTGGTATTGGGGGGAATTTTTTTTTTAGATKTAGCCTACATAATTTTAAAATAATGACTATACATAAAGTAATTATTAGTTTATCATATTATATTATTATGTTTTATATTTGATAGAAAATTCCAAAATCACCTGAATTCAACTTCGAGCACACTGTCATAAGAATTATAAATATTACCATGTTATAATATTTCCACCACAAAGAAAATTTCAGAAATTCTGGAAGATCTAAAAGATATTGGTATCAATTTAGTCTAAATATTTCAATGAAAATATTTGTCTAAACTTACTCTAAAGTCTAAACCCTTCTAAAACCTTTCTATCCAAATATTGAATAAATACAGAAATTATATCCCTTTTAATATAACATACCCACATGGAATAAACAAAAGTTAGCACCTAAAAATTCTAGAAGGTTACAACAAGACTATCACGAAGTGTACGTAGTACGTACACTGACACATTACACATCTAAAACACAAGGTGGAGTAGGGATATATACATATAATACTTGAAAACCGATATGTATCGTCTAAACTATCAAACACATGCATCATATTTAATGCTGAAACAACAGAGATTCTCGAGTCGATAAAAACTGTTATAAAGAAAGAACGTTCACAGCTAACCACTCTCTTAAAAGGAAAGAAGCGTCAATTCTCAACCACACATGGATCGGATATCTGAGATCAAATCACAGATTCCTAATGGTAAGAAAAGAACCCTCCATATGTGTAGTTTGTGGCTAACGGTGAGTCGGTGAAACACATTGTAATTGATTACTAAAAACATGAACTTGTCCAACAAACAAACAAAATCGACCAGAACCTTGACACAGCAGCACTTTGGCCTGAAACCAAAGACAACTTAAAAATGATCGACTTTTTAAATGCATCAGTACTTAACAGTTTAATTTAATAATATATCCCCTTTTTATTTTGTGTGTTGCTATAATGACCTTTATATTTGTATTATAATTTATTTTTGAAATACAYGTAAATATTTTAAATACTGTAATTATCATGATTATAACTAATATTGCCATCACATTATTATTTAATAGGTATAACTCAAATGATTCAAATATATCATCTCTATTAACACATCTATAACAACTGTAATTACCATACCTAATGACTATATCGAGTTCTTAAGATCATTCATAAAAAATGAATAATCTACATCTTCAGTTTTTATGTATGATCTTCAGCTTTTATATAATATACGAGTACATACATCGATATTTTTAAGAAAGTAAATTATTTAGTATTTAAAAACAGGATAGTTACATAAGTTTATCAAATTTATTAATTTTTAGTTCATATTTATGTAATACCATTCAAGTTTTTGTAAGTTGTTWTGTAAATATTGTTGTTTGGTATGTGTTAGAATCAAAAATATACAGCGTATAATTTTCAGTAATTTTATTATGTGTATGACATAATGATGTCCAATTTTCTAATTTTGCGATCCATATTTAAAAATTTTAATCACAATACTCAAAAATAACGTACACAAAATACTATATTTTTATATTTAATTTTTTATGACTCTATTTCTGTTTCAGAACGTTTTTTCTAAATTTATCAATRAAGTATAATGGTAGAATATGAAAACTATACAATCATTTTTTGAAAATGTTTAGTCGTTTTGTTGATAACCTTATTTCAACATTTTGTTTTAGATTAATAACAAAAAAAAAAAACATAATCATTTAATATACCTTGATACCTATTATAGATAGATAGATACTAATGGGAAATCATATTATCTCGTTTAACTTTTTTTTAAAACTTTAAAACTGCATTAACCATTAATTTTTAGAATGCTCTGAAATTAAAATAATTTAAATTTATTAACACATAGTCTTTCAGAGTGCTCGCAGTTAATTTTACTCTGATACTTTATATTTCAAACCTTTGTTTACGTTAACCATTATATCTTAAATCTATCTGATAATGTTCATTGTACATTTTATCTAACTAGAAATCGTGATTGAACAATCACTAGAATTATCTGTATCTGACAGTGTTTAAATGTAGAATCAAATTATTCTGTAAATTTTTGTGACAATTGCATATCTATCAATTCCGTGTTCAATTAAACGTCATTCTAGATGTTGAACCCACTAAACATAATCTACAAGKTTATGAGATTGAGAGATTCACACTTATTTATATACTTCTTAATTAATATTAGAGTACCTAACAAAATATTTGTTTCGACTATTRAACTCTTAGAAATTTGAAAATCACATAAATCAAGAAATGAAATAAATTAATATTAAATGAACAAATAAATTTAAGTTTCCTATTGACATTAAGACCTACGCACATACCTATTTAAGAAAAAAGTGATAGAAATATTTGCACCTTTCATTTTTGACCCCCCAAAGTACCAACTAGATTCACTTTTTGATCTAACGAAGTACTGAAGTCAAAAATCGAAGCACTTTTACTGCCCCAAAACGTGATGACAGACACAACAAAAAAACTACACACATCATGGTAAAATCAATACATTCATCGCTCCGCTCAGAATCTAAAAAAAAACAATTGTGAATGATAATTAATAAGAAAGCTGATTATAGAAATTAATTTATTGAATTTAAATGACTTATTTTACCATCTCCTATTTCCCATCAATTTTACTACAAATTTAATCTATTAGGCCTACATTGTTAGTTGTTACATATATATATATACAGTAAAACCTCTCTATAACGGACCATCTATTAAATGGAATCCTCTATATAACGGAAAATGTCAATAGTAGTGCAAATAATATTTACAATTTCTACCTCTCTRTGACAGAATACTTTTATAACGGAAAAATCTTTGGTTCCATGCGATTCCGTTGTAGAGATGTTTCACTATATTCATATATAATATATATATTTATAAAAATATACATATTGTTCCTAGACCAAAAAGGCCAAGGTATATTCTACTTACGGACATTTGAAATAAGATTGTAATCGATATTAGAATATTAGACTAAATACGAGTTCAGCACTAAAGAGTTTTATTCATTGCATAAACAAATGCCATAATTAAAATCTTAATATTTTATCCCTACACGAAACAAACTACAATATGTCAGCATTTGAGTATCAATGATAAACGAGGCTTTCCATATAACGTATTATAGTTTGTAAAGTGCGCTAAGACGAAACGTTTCTTTATGGCTCCTTCATTTAATTTATTGTATACATCTCATAACTCCAACTCATAATTAATTTGAATAGTCAACACAAAGTCAGCTTTTTAAAAAACCTATGACTGAATGAATTGTCTTACAAAGAAATTATCTTGATCATCAAACTACGTCCAAAAAAGATATCCCTCAAGTTAAGAATATTTATCTTTGTAAAAAAGTGGCAAAATGGGTTATCGCTCTGTTATATAGAAATAAGTAAATAATGATTGTACCTATACTATCATTGAGTAAGATGACACGTTAAGGGATAAATTAAGTTTGAATTAAATGATACACTTTTTCATATAAAAAACAATGTTAAACAGAGATGGTCTATATAAGTATACATAACTAAGAATATTTTTCAATTTGTTTGCTATTATTTTAGTAAATTATTTTCCTAAGCACCTATTATATAAATGTTTGATCTAATTAATTTTTCCCTAAAACATCAAATTTTATATTTATTATACTATGATTATTGTAATAGTAAAAATTTATAAAATATACTATAATGATCAACTTCAGAATTATTAAGGACTAACCTAGGTTGACAGTAATGCAATTTGATGGGTTATAGGTTATTGGGATAAAATAGGGAATAGCCTTAAATAATCTAAATTATACTTTAAAAATGTAGTTGTGTATAATAAAATATAATAATATAGGCAATAATTACAATAGTTATCACAAATAATATTTTTTTAAAGATTACAAAAAAATAAATAACATTCGATTTGTTTGGAAATGTCTTAAAAAACACTTATAAAAAATACCTATATTATAATTTTTAAATGTCTATAATAAAAATCACTTATTTGAGATTTTATGTTCAAGGTTCTTAGTTATTAATTTTAGATTCTGAGCGGAGCGATGAATTTATAGATTTTACAATGATGTGTGTTTTTTATTTTATATTTATTTTTTTTCGTGGCTGTTATCGCGTTTARGGCCAGTAAAAATGCTTCGATTTTCAATTTCAGTACCTCGTTCGATCAGAAAGTGAATCTAGTTGGTAATTAGAGGGGTGAAAAGTAAAAAAAAATTGACAAAAAATGTGATAATCACGAAAATTCATAAATTATTTTTTTTAATCTTAGATTTGAAAATTTAATAAAAAATTCCTTACAAGTTTGTCAATCTTTATCACAAAATAAATGTCCACTGGAAAGTCAAATTAAATTTTTATGAGCGTTTGAAATTTAAATTTTTACAACATCGGATTTTCACTTGAAACCTCATTCAGCGATTTTCTTATTTTGGTGTAACTCTAAAAAAATGATCGCAGATACCTGAAATTTTCACTCAATGTTTATGTAAATATTTTCTGTATTTGATAAGATTTTCAAAATATGTTGAATAGTTTTGAGCTGTTTACTGAAATTTTAAATTTTCAACTTTTTTAGTTTTTTTTTTCTATTAATGTCAATACATTTTTAGTAGTTGGGTCAAAAAGCTTCAAAATTTAATATAAGGTTGGAAACGTATTTTTTCAATAGCAGCTAAAAATTATTACATACCTAGGCACGATTTTTTTTTTTTAAGCATTTAAATTTTAAATTTTGACTAAATACGTAAAAAACACAGCAATATTCAAATTATCTTAAATAGAAATTCATATAAATTTTTMTTTTTAAATCTAAGATTTTAAAATTATTTACAGGGCTCCTAATATATTTTTAYAATAGATTTAAAGGAAAATATAAGAAATATATATTGAAAAAATTTTTTWTAAGCATTCAAAGTTTGAATTTTGACAACATACGTAAAAATACGAAAATTCGCAAATTATTTTAAGCTAGAAATTCGTAAAATTTTTCCACCCAGAATCGTTTTTCGCATCCAATGATATAATATCATTGGATTCAAGTTTAATTCCATCCATTACAGTAATCCACTTGTAATCTACTGTACAGCAGAGCGATATCCACTTTCCCGCTTTTCTTATATCAACATTAATAGAATAAAATTAAAATAATCGAATATATTAACTTAAAATGAGTCAAAATATTTTTTTAAATTATATTTTAATATATTAATGTATATTATGCTTGGTGATATAAATTTGTGTTTGGTGAAAATTCCATTTATCTGTGGTTATTAGTTTATTTTTTTAAATTACAATAACATAACCACATTATATTTTGAAAASATCAGTGTTGCGTAAGCATTTCTGTTTTTTCCAAATTGTTATGAAAAGTACAAAGATTTTTTACTTTATTCACTTCAGTTCCAACAATAATGTAGTTGAAGAAGAAAACTTTTTACCGTTTCACATGGCGAAGACAGATACCAAAAATAAAATAAGAGATATATTTATTATTATGGTATCAATACATTGAACATTCGCTCAAAATGTAAAAAAAGAACTATAAACATTAAAATCATCAACCTGAACATATTATAAAATACAYGTCTGTGGTGTACTTTCACATTTATATATAAAATATATATTCACGAGCATACACAGAAACATGCACACACACACGGATACATACACACACTAAAATATAACTCATCTACCTATAATATAATTATTATATTAGCCACCCATTATCTTCCTTACTTTATTTTTTATTCAACTACTAAAATGTTGATTCACCATATTATTGTGAATATTTTTACCTGATCCACGGTGTTTTCTATTAATATTGTACTTAATTAGAATTTCGCTTATGATATTATAATAAATGAATATGTGATAGTATAAAAATTTTAATAATACACTTTGAATATTAAAAAAGTATTTTAAATGATAACAGAATCTATTAATACAATTATTCCACTGTTCTAACCATTTACCTTCTTCGAACTAGGTTCATATAATTTCTATTGAATATTTAAATTTTAAACGTTCACATATATTAATATTTCTATGTATTTTCCAAACATGTTTATCAAGTTAAACCACTCTATAATAATATTATCTACCAATAATGGATAAGGCATRAGCAATCAAAGAGTATTAAGTCAATAATAATAATAAAATTAGTAATAATATTTATATCAATGACATTATATCATAATCACGAATTTCATTGTGTTTATCAATGCACAAGATTACTTTTAGATGTCCGTATTTCCATGTAAAAAACACGACCAGCGGAAGGCATCCGATTATGACCATTGACAGCACTAGTATAATCGTTCGGAGTACCCAGTTTAATGATGCTATACAGGGACTAGAGTCGATGCACTCGTCGCATCCTTCAGCGCATCGCAAACACTCGAACATGCTATGTTGGCTGTAGTTGTTTGGTTTTCCCTGTTGATAAACAAATACAAAAAAAAATTACACTATTTATTTAAGCACTAGGTAGGTAACGTATCGTTTTCGAATACAACTKCAACAGTAGAACCATACTATAAGTCAAACAAATAATAGTAAGTACTGTAAAGGCACCAAAACAAAAACATCAATATATATCACTTCATATATTTGTATTCCAGTATGATATTGTAAGAATACATTTCATTGAACATTTTAATATCCAGCATTATTATCTCCCACTAGATCGAATTCGTTTTCATTTTAAATATATTATTATGTTCTAAATATTACGGAAATCACAAATGTATTGTTCACAACATAGCATTTTCCGGATAAAAGTCAGCCAGCATAGAGCRTTGAGATAAATACTGTTTGTTAAATTTGTGAAAATAAAAACGAAATATTTAAACAATTACTCTGAAATCGATTGAATTTATAGAATACACTTAAAKATTTGATCATCAAAAGAAATGAATTCAAATATTATATTCAGAATAATTCCTCCAATAATAAAAAATAATGGGAAAATTCTTTTAGAATGTAAAACTCCTTTGTATGTTCATCAATTTGATAACTAATAGTGTGAGTTATATTTATTTTAAAATAATAATTTTTAACTTTATTAGATTTTATTTAAAATATCACAACTAGTTCATAGTACTGAATAATTATTGAATGCAAACTGTCAAACATTATGTAGTTTATTTTTCAAAAATGCTTAAATATTTTTACTTCTCCATTTTATTTAACTATTTAAGCTTATAGAGCAATATGAATAAAATCTACATAATTATTTTGATTAGAATTTCATGATACAATATTATGTTTGGCCTTTATTTACAATAATCTTTTAGTATACTGATACTACCAATTATTTTATAATTATTTATTAACATTTTATTTTTAAATATTATTGAATTTAAGAATTCAACCATTAAGGTCATTAGGTCATTAGTCTGATGCTGTATGGGGAAAGGTTTGTTAGAACATGTTTTGTATGTATGGCAAAAATTTGTTGCTAGAAACCCGGATAGTCTCCCATCATCCGAAAGCTAGCTACAGTAGCAGGTATGTACACTCAAAACGTTTCTACAGTTGAGCGTATAACCCCGCTACAACAAGCCACTATTAACTCATTTGTATTATTTAAAAATTAAAAAGAGTCTTAAAAGGATGTCAGCGCACTATTTATTTTCTCTTTCTGGCTCACTCGTAACATAGACAAAACGCACATACGCAGAATCATTTTTTCTATGTCCTGAAGTAATTTTAGAGTAAAACCTCCCATTACAAAAAAGATAGAAAATAATATTTTTGAGGGAATGACATATCGATTTGTCTAAATATTGTCTCTAAATAATTTAAACATTATTTTAATATACAGTATTATTTTGTTTATTTTGAAAGTCGAATACAAATATCAATAAAATATAAAATCAATATGTCATTCCCCCAAAAATATTATTCTGTATCTTTTTTGTAATGGAGGTTTACTCTAAAATTACTTTAAGACATAGARAAAATGATTCTGCGTAAATGCGTTTTGTCTAGTATGTTACGCGTGGGTCAAAGAGAGAAAACAAATAGTGCGCTGACATCCTCTTAAACAATATTATTAAAATTTACCAATCATTCGTATACACTCGGGTATAATTCATTATTACCTTAAATGAGGTACTGTAATCGAACCGTTAAATATGAATTCAATAATAAATCATCGCATACAAAAAACAATTCTGATTAAAGGTGATCTACGTCGGTAAAAGGCCATTTGCTGTAAGCAAAAATTTCATACATTTCATTAACCCAATACAATTTTGTCTATATTTTAATTTTCAAAATTATATAATTTTGGTATACCTATAAAGATAGTCTTTTAATTTTTTTCACGCATACGTGTTATACTTATCTTTAAGATAATTATAATTTCATAGAGAAATATACATTTTTGAGATTTTAGTAAATATTTAAATTTTATACTTGGCATTTATCATCTTCTAATTTGCATACCTGTACTCACGTCATTAAAAAAATTATACTTTATGATTGCGATTTATGTTTTAGCAATTTTATTATC